TTATTGATGCTTCTTTAATGAAAAATCTACAACAAACAAAAGAAAAAGACAAAGAAGCAGCCGAATTAGCAATCCTCACTTGGCGGTTGTAGAATTAAGTTGTAAACGAGTTCATACACTGCTAGTTGGCAGTGTTGTGCATATATTGTACATGAATTGTTGCCAGCCAGTAAGTGTTAAACTGAACTTGCGCTTTAAAATTAGCTTCTGCTAGTTTTTCTATGGCATAAGCGCTTTTGAAGTTGCAGACCTAAATATTTTCATAAGCGCTTTAGAATTTGCGAAGCTAATTTTTGGATTAGCACTGCTAGCCAAAATGAGTAAAATAGTCAGAACAAAATTTTCTTAAGTCGGCATGAGTTGTCTAAAATGTTAGTGTGAAAGGGCCTTTGCATGTTGAAGCCAGAGTCTGAACCAAAAAGCGAGAGGAGAATGAAGAYGACCAAATTGTAATTGTTGCAGTTGGTAATTCCAGCTCTTATTTAGAAGTTCCGTTGTAAATAATTTGACATAATAGTTCAAAAAATGTCATAGAAAATAGAAAAAAAACTGAACGGGTTGAAAAATATGACCTAAACAGAATATAAAGATATCTACGCAGCAGTAGGAGAGACTAAATTTAAATTTTCTGCACTCCTACAAACTCAAAGTGCTCAACAAAATGCATATAAAGGCTAAATAATTTGATTTAGCATGATCTGTTCTCTTTAAGCATGTACCTAAAACAGAAATTTTAGTAAGTAAATTAACTTGGGCACTTCAAATACAGCATTTACTTTAAATAGAAAAATTTTCAAAAAAAAAAAAATTTCAAAAAAAAAAAAAACACAGCCTTCATAAGGCATAACAGCATGAACCTTGTTAAATCTTATTAACCATTAGTTCACATTGTCCCTTGTAGCTCATCAAACCTAAAAAAGAGAGGCTTTTATTTATAGCCTAAGGTTTTACTGGCGTAGAGAACAAGTCAAGCCAAGAATAGCTTTGAAAAGATACACAGAAAAGTAGATCTTCAGCTGCCACATCACGACATGCACACAGGCCCATAATACAATAATTGGTCTGAGGTGCTCTTGTACCTGATTGCCTTTGAGCATCGCTTATTGACTCAGGTGCTTCCGGTAACATGTCTCCCTTGAAACACGCACAGTCACCTCATGCTGCCGCACTCTCTCACCAGCAAGGACTCACAGCTTCTCCTCCTCCCTCCATCCTAAACACCCAATTAGCAGCCACACCTGGCCACCTGCCTCCAATCAGAATAGGCTGACTGTTTCCATGGTAGCCAGCAATGAACAAATCCAGATGCAGATGGGGGGTCAGGGATGATGGATGGAATGGAGAGTGACTTTGTGTGCAGATGACAAATAGATTTGGAGTTTGAGCGTCATCTGCAGAATCACACGGTTGCAACYACATTTAGGAAAAATAGAATAAACTGTTCCAAAGGGATAAATGAAACTATCAGTGTTTTAAATGTTTCTTTAATGTTAAACTGTAAAATATTATACAATTTAGAACAATTTAAAGCAAAGAGTTTGACATTAAGAAAACAGGAAGACACATATAGCATACTTTGATTTAAAATTATGTTTATTCACATTGCTTTGCAGTAAATAGTCACCCTAAAATGACACATTTTATGGAAAAAGTAAACTGGTAACAATATTTGAGGCTTGCAGAAGCAGACTTACCATTTGATTTGWTCAATCTAACACATTTCTTCTTTAAACTTTTATAATTTCACCACATCTAACCCTTATCCTGGTCACTCACCCCATCAGAAACCACTATTGCACCAATTTCAACTGATTCTTATCTAATCAATAAAGCACCAAAGCAATGCTTTGTGCCTGACATCCAGATCTTTTTTTTTTGATTGATTGATTGAATGACATAAATGGTTTCCAAAATGATGAGGTGATTTTCATTGATTTGATATTGGCAATAAACCCTTTAAATGACAGGAACAAACAAAYGCAAATGTTCCTGAGAGACTTTAAAAGAGCCTTTGTCTTCTATGCTTTTAAATCGGGTCCACAGGCCACAGAAAAGTGAAGTTTTGTCACTTTTTRCCTCCACATGTTGTGCAACTGTTGTCAGCTGTCAGGGTGACTTCCATTCACAGGAAGTGCTTTCCAAGAAAACATTTCATTCCGCATCTGTTATGTACAATCTGTCAATACTTTTTCTTGTGGAGCGTCTAAAATTGAGACATTTTGTTCATGTTGTTTGATCAGTTTTGTGTACAGCGAGTCCCTTTTGTGTTTCTTCAGCTAAAAGTCAATTCCCCATCAGCGTTTCCTCCCATTTTTTTATTTTTTTATTTATTTTTTTATCAATCCATGAAGGCTTAACTGAGCACACAAGCTGTGTTTCTGCATCACCTTGCTTTACATTTACACAGTGACTCATGCCGCTCCACTGGGAGCTTCCAAGTACAACAGGCTACTGMGCAGCTCCACTGGAGCAGACGGGATTAAGGGCAAAGGCTGCTCGCTAACTTGTGCCCTTTTTTAGGTTTTTATTTACATTCGGCTCAAATTCAGCGAAGCAAAAAATGGAGCAATACCACGGCTCAGGCGAAGCAGCAAAGTCACGCTTGTGCCAACAGCGTTTTTATTTTGAAATCAAACCTTTTGTCATATTTTTTTCAATCACTACCTAATTATTAAGATCAAATCTGGTGCAGATGGGTGTTTTTTTCTACAAACATTGGAAATGCTTTCCAACTCTAAACATATAAATGCAAAAGTTTTTAGTTTTTCCAACATAACAAAAATCTGAAGTGTGTTTATGTAAAAATGGTGTGATTAATTTTCTGGAGCAAAATAAACCCAGTCTGAAGTAACAGAAGGTAAATTTAGTTAAGCTTTTGAATTGAAACAAAGTTTATAAAAGTACMTTAAGACATACTTATTTTCTCTGGCTTTTGAGTGCCTTTAATGCTTTATACTTTTTATGTAATCTGGTAATTAAGACATATATTTTACTTGGATGAATGGGTGGATGGATAGATGGATTTCATTAAATAAGTTTGCCGGTTTGGATGTGTTGGTCTTCTTCACTATGTGAAACACGTTAAACAATGACTAAGACAGTTGACAACACTGAAAATAAATCTATGATATTTTCATACAAAAAAAGTGTTTTCTTTTGTACTTAAGAAGGAATAATCCTTGTTCTTAATGCTGGTGCAAAAAAATAAACCTCGTCCTTCTGTCTGTATTTTTCTCTTCCCCAGTATCACCATCTTTGGCACTGGGGCTAAGTGGCTGTCTGTGCTGCAGGAGAGGAACCTCAAACCCTGTGAGTTGTAGTCACAGCCACAATATGCACACTTACACACACAGGCGTGCACACAAATGGTACCAGACACACAACTATAACAAGGAGATTTTCAGATGAATAGTCATTAGTCAAGTTACTGTTTTTGTTTTCAAAGATACACAGATCTCTAAAGGTAATCAGAGATCTACTAATACCTATTAATATCTTTCTAACCTTCAAATAAGGCAATGTTTTGATGTCATTGTTTGCTTCTTCACATTCTTACGAATTAGTTTAAACTAAAACAAAAGCAGCTTTTTTGGAGGCAGAGGGTGTGTCCACTGTGACCATTTAACATCTACACTGTTGTAAGAGCCATATTTAAAAAGCATGAGCCAGTGCAGCGTTTTATCTGTCTAATTCAAAACAGAAACATCAAAAACTGAGTTCTAGCGCTGATGTGAATTTATGAGCGTCTTTKGCAGCTCACTTTCTCCATGTTGTTGTTTTTAAAGTCAGTTAAGTGGATAAATCCTGCTTGTTTTCAGGGATAATGAGGCAAACCCTGTCAAAACTGCAGATAAACTGTCTCCCTGAAGTGTGGTGCCTTTAAAGAAACTCAGAATACAACAAAGGGAGGTTTAAAATGGAGACATTTAGTGTTTGGCCAAGTGGCATAATAAAGTGTTTATGTGGTGGCTTTCTGGCTGTAGACAAACTGAGCCGGTTCTTAGCTGTGATAGAACCAGTAAGAACTGGTTCCTGCACATCAATCTACCACTGGAACCATTTTTGTGAACAGTTTCTAAAAAGCATCCCTTCTGTTTTATCTCCCCTTTTGTTTGCCTCTGACACTTGATCCAGCTGGCACAGTGTGTGTGTGTGTGTGTGTGTGTGTGTGTGTGTGTGTGTGTGACCAGGACGCACAGTGTGTGTGTGTGTGTGTGTGTGTGTGTGTGTGTGTGTGTGTGTGTGTGTGTGTGTGTGTGTGTGTGTGTGTGTGTGTGT